AAGAACCATTTTCAAGTATAAAATTTTTAAAAAAAACAGTAACGATCAAAATGACTGCTTTGGACGTTCTAGGTCATGAAAATTTCCGGACGTTCTAGTGTTAAACATCTTTACACACTACTGAAAGCAGCATTCCATTTTCTGTTATTCCATGACGTCCGATATTTTTTCTATAAAAAATTATCCATACCACGAAATAAAGTGAAATTTTAGGATATTGTAGAGCTTGACGACCTAGATATGTACAGAAAGTTTGAACTTCCTAGCTGTCACCGTTACAAAGAAAACTTGATTGAAAGAAGGAAAAGTGTCATTCCGTGATGTTTGGTCAAGCCGTTCTATGTTATTTAAAGTTCAGACTTTGCTCTTTCTAACGGAAAAACAATTAAATCGTCAGCGCATCAGGAACATACACAAATAATGCTCGACATTTTTTCCATTTCTTTTGCATCGTATAATAGTTGAAAATGCCCTATGAAACAACATACGACTCAAAACTTTTTATTTTTTTCGATCAATTTTTTTTCGTGAACGGTACAATGGCTATGCAATTCAGTCACATACTCTTATTTAGCTCGGCAAACTCTATTTAACTATGTATAAATACTGACAACAAATTCTACAATATGACGTAGATAAATTACTTGTAAATTATAGTAAGTAAATTTCGAAGTTGTTCTATAGTTGCGTTGTTCAGGATAAACATCATAATTTTAGAAGAAGGGTGACAGGAATAGGCATGCACCGGTTAAAAGCCGAAACCGATACACGCCTATATGGGAACTTCGCAGAATGTATTTCACATGTCTATAAACAGCTTTGACTCCCGTTCAAAACGCATCCGTTTCGCAAAATTGTACTTCACAGCATGTAAGTGTATGATAAAGCAACAACAAGAAAGTTTTAACCATAAAGTTACATTTTATTCTAACAATATTTCTATAAACTCAACCCAACAACAACTAGTGGTAGATGCGATGGTAGCAAATATAACGTACAAGGTCGTAAAAGACGTAAGAATTAGGAATAATCAATGTTGCTTACTCCGAATATTGATGTGGCGATGGCAGCTAGGATCTTAACATCCGTTTTTCGGAAAAACTAATTTTTCAAGATAAACATAACATTAGAATGAATCCATATTAAAATTTAAAACTATAAATAACTTTTCTATGAATAATCACTCATTTTCTTGATGTTGATTTTGAATTTCGTTAATATTCTCTCTACATTCTTTGACAAATCGATTATCATCTGATAAAAAAATTTTTCTAATTATTAATGATTTTTTAAAATAATTTAATGCCATATGATAATTAAATTTCTTTTTATATGCTATACCATAGTTATAATAGACAGATCCTATACTTGAATGTTGATCAAAATTATTAGTTAAAAAAATATCATACGCTTTATCTAATAGTTGTATGGCAATATCATATTCATCTTTCAATTTATTATGTATACTTGCAATTAAATTATATGTGAATGCAATTTGTATATGATTAAATGATAAAAATTGTTGACGAATATCTAATGCTTTTTGACAATATATCATAGCGAGACGATCATAATTTTGGTTACTATATATTAAGGCATTATTGGCATACATTGATGCTAAATTTAAATACTGTACTGGCATTGATTCAGAAAATAATCTTAATTGTTCAAGATCATTATTTAATTCCTCTATGCGTTCTTCATTATCACAACAAAGAAGATCTTTTATCATCTCTAAATTAGTATCATTTTTTGTTGAAAAATATATTTCATATGATTTTCTATAATAAATTAATGCTTGCTTATTATCATTATCATAATAATAAGCTGTTCCTAGATTTTGATATGTTTGAGCAAGATTATCAGAATGATCATCATTTAAACAATATAATTGAATTTTTAATGCATTTTCATAAAAAGTCATTGCTTGTTTATATAAACCTTTTCTTATATAAATATTACCAATATTATTAGAGACTTGTGCAATCATTGGATGATAATCAGAATATATTTGAATATAAATTTTAATAGATTTATTAAAATTTTCTAATGCTAACTCATAATTATCTTGTTCACCTTGTAAAACTCCTATATTAAAATACAATATTGCTATATCTGAATGATTAATTGATTTAGAATGATATAAAATATAAATATCTAATGCATTATTAAAATTTATCAATGCATTTATTTGATCACATTTCATTTTATAAATAATGGCAAGATTATTATACATAATTGCTAAATCCAAATGATTATTATGAACATTTTCTCTATAAATAGTAATAGCTTTATTTGTATAAACTAATGCTTGATCATAGTCTGATAATTTTCGATAAATTTCACCTATATTACTATAACATATAGCTAAATTTAAAGAATTTGTAGAGTATTGCTAAAAGATGTGAACATCCACGAACACCCCCCAAATTAAAATCTGACGAGGGAACCTCTCGAGGTGATTAAAAGCTTTTAGACTCACACTATTTTCATCATGTAGGGAATAGTCAGTAGTGAAAAACCCCAAGTTGGTTTGAGCCCATGCGCCTTTTTGATGGAGATATGAGTTAATTAATGAAAATGCCATTAATAATAATTAATTAATAGCTCACGACCATGATCAGCTAGGAGTCGGAAATTTACACCACAGTTGAAGATAGATGTTGT